TCCAACACAAATGTTGAAAATTTAATCCTTTCAGGGTAGACAGGCCCTCTCCCAAACTTGTTCTCAGGGTTGAAAAATATTCGAAAAAAAAAATTTTCTTATGATATGATAGTTTTTTTTTTTGTGAGTATTATAGGCCAAAAAAAAATTTGTTTGCAATCAATACTTACGGAGATATGGAGGCATGAAGTTGACAGAAATTGAACCACATACAGCAACATCGCTGACTGCCGGTCACCCAGTAATAGTTTATTTTGTTTTTTCTACTTTTTCTTTTATTTTTAATATTTTATTTTTTCAAGTAACTTTTATGGCCTCTGAGACCAATATAAAGACTATTTGGTATATATTCACTCATTGTATAGTACACAATAACAGTACAAACTTTGCTGTCATTATATTCTTTACAAAACATGTTTACACAAACCAACAATAAAAAATATTGTTTATTACTATTTTTCTATCATATATATATACACATATTATAGGTAGTAGGTTGGTAGACAGCAACCGCCCAGGGAGGTACTACCGTCCTGCCAAGTGAGTGTAAAACAAAAGCCTGTAATTGTTTTACATGATGGTAGCATTGCTGGTGTCCATTTTTCTGTCTCATGAACATGCAAGGTTTCAAGTATGTCTTGCTACTTCTACTTACACTTAGATCACACTACACATACTTGTACAAGCATATATATACACACCCCTCTGGGTTTTCTTCTGTTTTCTTACTAGTTCTTGTTTTTGTTTATTTCCTCTTATCTCCATGGGGAAGTGGAACAGAATTCTTCCTCCGTAAGCTATGTGTGTTGTAAGAGGCAACTAAAATGCCTGGAGCAAGGGGCTAGTAACCCCTTCTCCTGTATAAATTACTAAATTTAAAAAGAGAAACTTTGTTTTTTTTTTTGGGGGGGGGGCCACCCTGCCTTGGTTGGATATGGCCGGTTTGTTGGAAAAAAAAAATACACATATAGAGTCACTGGACAGGTTCCTGTAACTACAAGAGGTTCTGAAAGCTTGTATTAGTGTGTGGGTGGACTTGTAAATATGCTAAGTCACCAGTGTGTCTTGTGTCACAATGATGCATCATACCACCACTCACCAACCCTCACTGCCTTCCACAACACATCCCTTCCTCCCCACAAACCTAGTATCTTCCTTCTTTCCTTCCATCCTCTCATCTCTTCCTACCTACCTTCCTTCCTTCCTCTCATCTCTTCCTACCTACCTTCCCCCCTTCCTTCCTTCCACTCATCTCTTCCTACCTACCTATCTTCCCTCCTTCCTTCCTTACTTCTTCCTTCCTTTCTTTCTTTCTTCACTCAAGTAATTTTATGGTCTGTGAGACCAATATAAGGTATATTGAATGTATATTCACTCGTTGTATGTTACACAATAACCGCACAAACGGTCATTATATTGTTTAAAAAACATGTTTACACAAACCAACAATAAAAAATGTTGTTTATTACTATTTTTCTATCACATATATACACATATAAAGTCACTGGACACTTCCCAGAACTGTTACAGCTTCGGTAAAGCTCGTAGTTGTTGTGTGGGGGTGGACTTGTATATATGCTGAATCACCGGCATAATTAGCATCACAATGACAAATAACGCCATCACTCACCACCCTCACTGCCTGTCAACTTCCTCTTCACCCCACCAACCCACATGGAAATAAGTCACCATCTGAAATTTTTGGGTTATCCTAGGTTGATGGTCTCCTTCCTTCCTTCCCTCCTTCCTCTCATCTCTTCCTTTCGTCCTCTCATTTCTTCCTTCCTTCCTCTCTTTCTTCCTACCTTACTTAATCCTTCCTTCCCTCAGGTTTCCTGGGCATTGCTTTTGGTCCCAAACTCCTCAAAACCATGAAATTCATCTTCACTGACATTTCCATCTGTGTTTGAACTGTCACTTGGGAACAAAAAGCCCCAATTAGCCGAGGAGTGAGGAGTTTCTTAGCGTTAGATATGGTGAACAAGGTGTAATAAAATGGCTTTCCCACAATGCACCACTGGGTCCCCGATTTTTTTTGTACTGCACACACTGACCATGGAGATCCATTCTCTCACATCTAGGCGCACCAACTGTTTCCCGCTTAATTTGAGGCCACTAGAATTTACATGTACAGTGGACCCCCGGTTAACGATTTTAATCCGTGCAAGAGGGCTCATCGTTATGCGAAATAATCGTTATGCGAATGAATTTTCCCCATAAGAAATAATGGAAATAAAATTAATCCGTGCAAGACGCCCAAAAGTATGAAAAAAAATTTTTTTTACCACATGAAATGTTAATTTTAATACACACAAACTGAAAAAGGCATGCACAATTACATGACACTTACTTTTATTGAAGATCTGGTGATGTTTTGATGGGATGGGGAGGGGGAGGAGAGGCATTATCTTCTTACTGTTTAGAGGGGAATCCCCTTTCCCATTAGGACTTGAGGTAGCAAGCCCTTTTCTGGGGTTACTTCCCTTCTTCTTTTAATCCCAAATAGGACCAGTTTGAGAGTCACTGGACCTCTGTGCCACAAACAAATCTGTCCATAGAGCTCTGTACCTCCCGTTCTTCAAGCTTTTCCTAAAATGGGCCTATACATTGTCATTGAAACAAGTCACCGGGCGCTTGCCAGCTGTGTTAGGGTGATTTTCTTCTTAAAGGTTTGAAGTTCAACCACTGTGCCACATTTCCTTATCTTTAAGTAGGCACAATGGATTCCACAACTGGCATAGGCTTCTCAGGGTTAGCCCCAAACCCTTCAAAATCTTTTTAATTTTCCATAAAATTCTCACCCTTTTTACCACAGGGTTGGCACTAGAAGCTTTCTTGGGGCCCATGGTCACTTATTTTCCAGAAACAGCACCGAAAACACTGTAATAATACGAAATATTCCGAGTGTATGCTTGGATGTTACCGCGGAGGCTGGCTGGTAAACAATGGGACGGAGCGGCACATGTGAGGCTGGCTGAGGGCACATTGGACGCGTCTCGGACGAAAATCGGTATGCGGGTTTTTAATCGGTATGCGCGGCAAAAATTTTGCGATAAAAGTAATCGTTATGCGGAAAAATCGCTATGCGATGCCATCGTTATGCGGGGGTCCACTGTACTAGTACGGCACCAACCCTGGTGCATAAGCCGAACTAGTACTAGTATGGCACCAACCCTGAAAGGGTTAAAGCCAACTGGATGAGGCATTCTCAAATTATGAACAAAATAAAATCATGAAGGAATAAGAAAAAACCAGGCAAACTCTTAATGGACACCTAATGAATTTGTTATGCAGTGGGAGTTGTCATAGTTTCTCTTTGCCAATGACAGTACTTATGTCAGATTCTTAACAGAAATTGCAAAGGTTAGTGGAGGAGTCTGGGAGGGTGTGTAGAAAAACAGAAATTAAAAATAAACATAGAAAAGAGCAAGACGAGAATTAAAATAAAGTCAAGGCAATGAAAGCTTTCCTGTAAAAATAGGTGAAGGAAGTAGATATATTTAAACATTTGGGAGGGTTGTGTGTCGGCAGATGGGTCTATGAAAGCCAAGACAGACCATAGAATAGGTAAAGGGAGGAAGGTAGATGAAATGATGAAACACCTGTTGAAAGAAAAGTTTATCAAGGAAGGAAAAGTGGCAACTTACCAGAGTACAGTGGTAGCAATATGTTTATAAAAGTGTGAGGCATAGTCTGTCAATGTTGCAGTGAGGAGGCTGGAGGCAGCAGAGATGTCATATTTGAGACCAATATATGGTATGAATATTATATAGAGAATTAGGAGGGTATAAATTAGAAGAGGGTGTAAAATTAAAGGCATAATTCAGAGGGCAGTGGAGGTACTGCTAAAGTTTGTTTGTTCAGAAAGGATGGAGAAGACCAGTGGGTGCATAAACTGATGGTAGGACAGGTAGGAGTAATCCCAGAAATGGGTGGAGAGAGGAGGTGGAAGAAGTTTTAAGTGGTAAGGACTTTAGCATTCAGCAGGTGTATGTGTGTGTGTATATATATAAGCATGTTAGAGTGAAATGAGTGGTTTTTTTAGACATGCTGTTTGAGTGTGTGCAAGGTAACATTTACGAAGGGATACAGGATATCAGTTAGCCAGACTTGAGTCTTGGAGCTAGGAAGTATAAACTCTAAGCTTTATGCTTTGGAGGGGCGAGGATGTTGCAGTCTGTAGGGTTAACTGAACTGTGATGTCCACACACTTTTGGTCCAATAATTACTGAATGAGACTGAACATGTTTACTTTTTTTTAGGTTGCCCTACCTTGGTGGGAGCCAAGCAGTATAGTAAAGAAAAATATAAAATGTGGGAAAGTTACTGCAGAATACATAAGTTTATACGACACTATGGTACTGATTATTATTGCAGGAATGCACTGATATTGTAAAGTAGGATGTTAGGTAATATGACATCACCACTGGCTAACTCTCTCTCTCTCCCTCATGTGACAGACACAGCCAGTACTTGTGACTCAAAGGGTGATATTGTTATGTTTGATAATGAATGCTAAACCTGTAAGGGTTATACAGCTCCCAGTGATAAAACATTCATACATAAACATTATTTACAGTTTCCTCACATTTTAACATTGACGATGAAGTGGGGACTGTAAGTATACCCTCTGAGTTATAGCAAAAGCTGTGTAAAAATGGTATTTTGGGGAGTGAAAGCATACCTCTCACCCCTGTCCTCCTTTCACTCATCCTATTACCTGGATCAACTCATGGTACTCCATTATCCACTTTCATGTGGTAGAGAGGTTAATGTTAAAAAATGCAAATATAAAACAAAATAAATTTTTAGCATTGCATATACCTGTATATGCAAAAATATACTGTATATGTATATACAGCGAGAGAAACTGATTACCAAATAGGAGATGTAGAGAGGAAAATTATATATAATGTATAAAAATAAATTAACTTAAGGTAAACACCTTGACCTCTTGAAGATACAGTGAACTAACTCAATAGTCTCAAAAGTAAATATACCTGCATCTTGTTGCTTGTTGGAGAACCTAACATCAATTAACCCTTGGCAGATGTAGTGGACAGCTGTGGCCAGGTGTTGATGCCATGCTGTTGGTGGCAAGAAAGGGACAAGTGGAGGGCATGACACCCACAGTCTCTCCATCAATACCATCAAAATATGAACACCCACCAGAGCATCTTCAGCAGCATACCTCTCCTATAAACAAAACAGCTTGAGATGAAGTGCTAAAGAGAAGCATCTCTTAAATCACCAAATTTCTAGAGAAAATCATTCAGCAAATAAAGCAAAATTGCTTGAAAAAAATATTTCTTGCAGCACCCAGGTCACTGAATGACACTTAAAGACCTCATAAAGTACTCTTATTAAGAAGTATTTTCCTGTTTTACAATCACATAAACAACACTATTATTATAATATTCACAAAAAACTGCTAAACGTTTGGGTCATTTAGCGCCACAACCAGCACTGGAAGATTCACGTACTTTCCACAGCTGCTTACCTCTTTCATAAGGCAACTTCTTTTCACATTTTTTCTTCCTGAACGTGTTAAGCAATAGCTTATTATAAAGAAACTATTGCCATATAATCTGATTTTTTTTTTTGTTGCAGTCTTAATTCCTTATTAAAATTAACATCTTGTACTTAGCTGGCAATTTAGAAAGTTACATGATCTTTTCATTTGCTGACAAATACTATTTGCCAGTATGAGCATAACACACCATCCATACAATGCACTGGATTCTGTTTCATACCTGCCTTTTGGTGAGGGTTTCAGCCTCCCAGTCACTGGCTCTGACACGCCAGTCCTTATCCAAGGTACGATCAAGGTACTTCTGTGCTAGAGAGTTCAGCCCCATGCCACCTGCTGACTTTCCTCCTCTTGCTGGTTTACTTGCACAAGATACTTCAGACTCCTGGCACTGCTGCACAAGGTAACGCAAGTCAACACAACCCCGAACCTGTTTTAAAGACATTATTTTGTACAGTGTGCTCATAAAGATAACTGAGAACTTTAAAAATCAACCACTAGCAACAACCAGTACATAGCTCCTATTAGTTATTCCACTTATTACTCTCATTAGACTGTTTTACATTAGCTTCCTTCAGGGATAGGGCCAAGTACTTACCTGTATTTATATTTGCAAATACAGAAAAGTTATTTGTATTTTACTGAATTTGGAAAAAAAGTAAAGTCTTTGTATTAATCTTGCTTTTAATGCTTGTATTTACTGTACAGTAGGGCCCCACACTTATATAGCAGGTTAGGTTCTAGGTTACCACTGCAAAGCAAACATCACTGTAAAGCAGAACACCATTTGCCAGATAACAAAGTTTACATTAACATATATTAAGTTAACAATAGAACTAGGCATTAAGAAACAATAAAAAGTAAAATACACACAGAGTACACTCATTATTTACCTCAAAATATTTGTAGTCTTAATGTAGGGCAAAAGGTGAGTAGTAATTACTGTAGGAAGTCAGGTGTGGTAGGTATGGTAGCTTCCCTGGCCACCCCACCTAATACGACATTTAAAGCGCCCTAGAGCGATAAAATGCATATACAGTGGACCCCGCATAAACGATGCATCGCATAGCGATTTTTCCGCATAACGATTTCTTTTAATCGCAAAAATTTTTGTCCGCGGCATACGTTTAAAACCCGCATACGATTTTCGTCCGAGACGCGTCCAATGTGCCTCAGCCAGCCTCACATGTGCCGCTCCGTTCCATTTGTGTACAGCCAGCCTCCGGGTAACTCCAAGCTACACTCGGAATATTTTCTTTGTATTATTACAGTATTTTCGGTGCTGTTTCTGGAAAATAAGTGCCATGGGCCCAAGGGAAAGCTTCTAGTGCCAAACCCTGTGGTAAAAAGGGTGAGAATTAGTATGGAAATTAAGAAAGATTTTGAAGGGTTTGGGGCTACCTTAGAAGCCTATGCCAGTTTTGGAATCCATTGTGCCCCTACTTCAAAGATTAAGAAATGTGTGCAGAGTTGGTTGAACTGCAACCTTTATAGATGAAAATTCACTGACACAGCTGTTGCAAGCCGTGCTTGTGACTATTCAATGACAATGTTATGGCCCATTTTAGGAATGTCTTGAAGAAACGTGAGGTACAGAGCTCTATGGACAGAATTAGTTGTGCGAGGAGGTCAGTGACTCTCAAGCTGGTCCTAGTGGCATTAAAAGAAGAAGGGAAGTAAACCCAGAAAAGGATTGCTACTTCAAGTCTAATGGAGGGGATTCCCTTTAAAACAGTAAAGAGATAATGCTCTCCCCTCCTCCATTCCATCAATCATACAGATCTTCTATAACAGTAAGTTGTCATGATTAATTGTGCATGCCTTTTTCAGTTTGTTTGTGGGTATTAAAAATTATCATTTCATGTGTTAAAAAAAATTTTTTTCATACTTTTGGGCGTCTTGCACGATTATTTTATTTCCATTATTTCTTATGGGAAAATTCATTCGCATAACGATTATTTCGCATAACGATCGTAGCCCTCTTGCACGGATTAAAATCCGTTAACCGGGGGTCCACTGTACGTACACCATTACTTACCTAAAATATTTTGTAGTCTTAAAGTAGGGTGAGAGGTGAGTTAAGAGATAAAAATGAAAAAAAACAGAGAGAGAATCGTGTAAGGAGGAAGAGTCTGCAGATTACTTGTGTAAGCAATTGCTTTTGGTTATGGCGATCATGTTCATAAAACACCTTTACCACTGTGTAAGTTAGCCTCCACAGTGGTTCAGTAGAATATTACAGACCAACACTTCCATTCTCATGTAACATCATTTTTAGAAGGAATGATGCTCTGACAAATTATTATTATTATTATTATTATTATTACAGTGGACCCCCAGTTATCGGCCAGTTTGGTTATTGGCCAACTCGGTTATTGGCGGGGTTTTCGGCACCCGGTTATCGGCCGTTCACTCGGTTATCAGCGGTTTTGTACGCGTCCATCCGCCGGCTGAAGCAGCTTGCGCTTCAGTTTGGCTTTCTCTCTCGGTGGCTGAGGAGGCTTGTGCTCATACATCCAAACTTTTCACTTGTTTACCATTCTTTTTAGTGGTTTTTCTTGCAGTGCAACTGTGAAATAAGTAACCATGGCTCCAAAGAAAGTTCCTAGTAAAGTTCCTGTGGTAAAGAAAAAGTTGAGCAAAAACACCATGGAATTTAGCGTGATGTGTCGAAAGTTTGTGAGTGTGGTATGAAGGTGATGGAACTTGCCAGGATGTACAGCAAGAATAAATCAACAATTACATCCATCCTGGCAAAGAAAGAACAAATCAAAGATGCTAATGTTGCAAAAAGAGTAGCTTTTCTAACTAAACAAAGGACACCAATAATGGAAGAGATGGAAAAGTTATTATTATTGAGGATTAAGGAAAAAGAATTAGTGGGAGACAGTGTAGTGGAGTCTAATACAGTGGACCCTCGCATAGCGCTATTAATCCGTTCCTGAGAGCTCATAGTTATGCGAAATTATCGTTATGCAAATTAATTTTCCCCATAAGAAATAATGGAAATCAAATTAATCCGTGCAAGACACCCAAAAGTATGAAAAAAAAAATTTTTTTACCACATGAAATATTAATTTTAATACACACAAACTGAAGAAGACATGCACAGTTACATGACACTTACCTTTATTGAAGATCTGGTGATGATTGATGGGATGGGAGGAGGGGAGACTGTGGATGGTCTTAGTGTTTAGAAGGGGAATCCCCTTCCATTAGGACTTGAGGTTTTCAAGTCCTTTTCCCCGGGGTTACTTCCCTTTCTTTTTAATGCCACTAGGACCAGCTTCAGAGTCACTGGACCTCTGTCACACAACATATCTGTCCATAGAGGCCTGTACCTCTTGTTCCTTTATGACTTTCCTAAAGTGTTTCACAACATTGTCAGTGTAACAGTCACCAGCATGGCTTTCAATAGTTGTGTGAGGGTGATTTTCATCAAAAAAGGTTTGTGCTTTAAGCCACATTGCACACATTTCCTTAATCTTTGAAGTAGGCAACTTCTTCAATTTCTCTATCCCCTCCTCTGGAGCAGTTTCCTCAGGTGTGGCCACTTATTGTTGAAGATGATCTAGCAGCTCATCAGTGGTTAGTTCTTCATTGTCCTCCTCCACCAACTCTTCCACATCCTCCCCACTAACCTCGCCAATATGACCACTAGTTCCAGGCATTTTTTCCTGTTCACCTGGGTGTTAGTCAACTGCTGTGGGTTGCATCCTGGGGGACAAGAAAACGGACCCCAATGGAAATAAGATTACAGTCCTCGGATGAGGCACTACTTTCTTGGTTTTTTTAAAAAAATCTGGGTGGCTAACCCTCCGGAGTTAATCGTTTCTCGTAAATGTTTCACGTTGAGGCCACACAAACAACACAACTCTCCCACACTCTAGTAATACAGCTGACTGTGGTGCAGCAACACTGACCATGTGCAGCAGCCCTCTGGTGCAGCAACATCTGACCATTGAGCAGCAGCACTGTAGTGCAGCATACAGCTGACCATGGGTGCAGCAGCCAGCTGTGGGCAGCAACACTGACCATAGTGCAGCAGCAGCTGTGGTGCAGCAAACAGCTTAGCCATAGGTGCAGCAAGCAGCGTGGTGCAGCAACATTTTTTTCTGACTGTTACCATTAACATCTGGACCGTGGTGCAACAGCAGCTGACTTAAGTCCCAGCAACAGCTGACTGGTCCAACAACAGCTGACCGTGGTGCAGCAGCAGCTGGACTGATTCCAGCAACGGCTGACTGGTCCAGCAACAGCTTATCATGGTGCAGACAGCTGGTCTGATCCAGCAACAATTACTGGCCACAACTCTGACCGTGGTGCAGCAGTCAAGCTGACTGTGGAATGATCAGTATTTCTCACCCTTTATTTACCACAGTGTTAGCACTAGCTTTCTTGGGGCCCATGGGTACTTATTTTTCAGGTGAAATCACTATAAAAAGGCTGTAATAATACGAAATGTTCCGATTGTATGCTTAAATGTTACCACGGAGGCTGGCTTGTAAACAATGCCACTGGCAGAACAAGTGAGGCTAGCTCAGGCTGCATGGACGTGTCTCGGACGAATCGCATTGAGCGAATTTTTTAACACTATGCGAGGCAAAATTTTAGCGATAAAATGTATCGCTATGCGGATTTAACACTATGCGATGCCAACGTTATGCGGGGGTCCACTGTATTTGTGAGAAGGCAAAGCAGTTGCATGAGGATCTTGCCAAGAAAATGCCTGGAATAAGTGCTGCAGTTTGTGAATTTAGGGCCAGCAAAGGATGGTTTGATAGATTTAAGAAGTGTAGTGGCATACACAGTGTTGGGTATACACAAATAACCTGCACATAGAAGAGAGGAGCTTACGACGACGTTTCGGTCCGACTTGGACCATTTACAAAGTCACACTAACCAGAAGTGGAACACGACGGCTATATATAGGCAGGAGGAGGAGGAGGAGGAGGAGGAGGAGGAGAGGCTGGCGGCGGCGCGGGCGGCGCGGCGGCGGCGCGGGCGCGGCGGCAGCGCAGCGGCAGCGGCAGTGGCGGCACGAGGCAGCGGCAGCGGCAATCAGCAGCAGCAGCAGCAGCAGCAAGCAGCAGCAGCGAGCAGAAGCAGTAGTAGTAGTAGTAAGTAGTATAGTAGTAGTAGTACAGTAGTAGTAGTAGTAGTGGGGGGAAACTAAGGAGGAGAGCGAGTCGCAAATATAAAGACCAGGGGAGCACTGGGGTCAAGGGAGCTAGGTGCCCACAGAGGGAGGAGCAAGTTCACAGTAGGTGGGTTGAAGGGGAAGTAGATGAAATAAATAATGAAGGAACAGAATCACGCGACAGAAGACGAATAAAAAAAAGAGGAAAGTGGAACAGGGAGAAGAAAAAAAAAGAAAAAATGAGAGGAATCAGGTTAATTCACGGTGTATCATAGAGTTTGGAGCATTTT